CGTCCCTGCCCCATATTGCCTCCTTACTGGCCTTCCCCAAAGCCACCCGGCTTACCTCTGTAGCCCCCCACAGCAAGAAAAGGGAAGACAGGGCCCCCGTAGTCAGCCATGCAGCTCAGGGCTAGGGCTGTGCCGTCCTTGAAGGTGAGAGGGGCACTGGGGGGAGAAGGAAGGACCTTTCCTGGCCCCGTGCCCATTGCCAGCCCCAGACTGCCAGCACTGTCCCCTGACCCATGGTCAGAACCACTTTTCCCCAAAAAATTTCCCTCAGCCCGACCCAGAGTGGAGCAGAGTTCTGTGACCAGGGCTGTGTGAGCTCTCCCTTCACACCTGCTGACTCTGCAGGCTCGAGACCACATCCCAGACAAGGCAGGTCCATGAGCGTCACACACGTGGACTGCCGGGGGTCACCAGGACTTAGCCCTGGGAATCTGGCACAAGCTCCACTCCTACAAGACAGCCTCGCAGTGTTCAGCCTGTCCCCCCGCCAGCCTGGAACCCCCAGGCCCTGAGACCAGATCTTCCTTTCTGTGCACAAATTACTAGCCCAGACCCCTTGGACATGTCTCTACTGAGCCTTCCTGCAAGTGCGTGTCGGGTACCCTGACAAAGTGGTCTTTGTGAGTGAGCACGTGGGTCACCAGCTATCCTGGGCATGCCGGTTGCTATGTGACCTTGAGCCACTCACCACACCCCTGGCCCTCAGTTTTCCTGTCTCTGGAATGGAGATAATCAGACCACCCCAGAGATGTTGTGAACATCCAAAATCAAAATAATGCCAACACAAGGACTGGACCTGGGGACAGAGCTCCTTCCCTGACTCGCCAGTTCTGAGCGCCAGCCAGGACCAAGACACCAGTTCTGGGAAGCAGCCCGAGGGGTGGAACCCTGGGTCCCTCACCTAATGCAGTGGTTCTCAGTGCGGTGTCAGGGCCCGGGAGTCTTAGACACCCTTTCGAGGGTCTGCAAGGTCAAAACCAATCTCATAATAATATAAGGTGCTTTCCGCCTTTTCCCCTTCATTTGCCATCGGGTATAAGGGATAGAGACAGTCTGCTGATGTGCCTTCAGAGTCCATATCGCAACTAACATTTAGGAAAAACCACATGCTGAGTTTGGGTGTATATCAAAGAAAACCGCCAAGTACGTGGGGAGGCTCTCACGATGCTCCCCCCTCGTCCGGCCACATGGGCGTGACGTCAGAGATTCTCACTACGGCCCCAGCCAGCAGGCCACATGCAGAAGCCAGAAGCCAGCTATCCCCCATTAAACAAGACAACAAAGGGATCTGTAAAGATGTAAAACAATGTCACTCTTATCACTGACTCTTCTTGTTTGGAAAATAGTTATTTTGTATAAAAGTATGCTATTCATGTTGACATGTAATGGGGCTTGTTACTGTCGTCTCATCATGTGGTGGATGTCAGTAGACATAGCCTCTACCTGGGCCAGAGCAAACCGGGGTATTCGGTCTCTTGTGACAGTGTCAGCAGGCCCAGACCAGGCATTGTGGACCTCTGCACACTATAATCTCAGGGAGCCTCGGCCACTGCCCGCCCGGGTGAGCCTTCACTCTCAACCCCAAGGCCCAGCAGTCTCACTACTGTCTCATTTGCAGCACAGCAGAGTGGAGGCAGCTGGGGACCAGACCCCAAGATTACCACGGTGTGTGGCTGCACCCTGCACAGGGGCACCCAGCCCCTGCTGGGTGACCCTGCGGTGCTGGGGGCCTGCATGGACACACACACATCACATTGCTCCATCACACTCAAAGAAAGAACAGCAAGGAGGCAACTGCTCTGTCTGAGCGGGGTCAGAACCAGGGAGGCCATGATGGCCACGCGCAAACCCACGCCAGCCAGTGGGAGCCACGGCGGGGGTGGCAGGGAGGAGTGTGGAGAGGAAGGGTGTGTTGCAGCCCCTGAGACAGAGACGCGGGGCCACATAGGACCCCAGGGGCCGGGCCAAGCCCCGCTGCACCTGGCAGTCCCCCTCCCTCCCCAGGGCCAGCCGGCGAGGACTCACTTAGCGCAGTAGAGAAAGTGGTCCCTCCAGTCCACTTGAGAGGTCTGCCCAGTCAGCGTCTGGTTGGCCGTGAGCAGCAGGCGCGTGCGATTGTTCTGGAAATACTGCAAGAGGCTGTTGACGCAACAGTCGGAGAGGCTGGTGTTGTGTGGGTTGAGGGGCGCGAAGCACACGTCCTGCAGCGACACATTGCGCTGCTCCTCGGGTGACCACACCTGCAGGTGTCGCAGCGTCTCCTGCAGCTCCAGCACCTCCAGCAGGACGTCGGGGGCCAGAACCCCACTGAAGTTCTTGGGCCCCAGCAGCAGGGAGTTGTAGCTGGAGCCAGGCCGTGTGGGTGCCGTCAGGATCACCTGGTTGGTCCGCAAGAAGGGGCCGAAATGCTGGTCATGAAACTCCTTCTCTCTCCGGGCCTGGCTGCTGGGGGCCGACCACAGCTCCACGGGGTCCGTGGTCAGCTCCATGAAGGCCAGGCCTCCTGAAAAGGCCACCACCACAGCAATGGACACCAGCAGGATGCTCAGCGGCCACGAGGCCACCCATGTGCCCCAGCCCTGGAAGCACCGGCTGAGGAGGCTATGCGTGGACAGGCTCAGTTTGTCAGAGAGGCTGGTGCCCACCGTGGGGTCCCGCATCTTGCCCTTGCCCCAGTGGGAGGCCAGGCGGGGCCCCACCAGGAAGGCGGTAAGTACAGCAAAGGCCGAACAGAGGGTGATGACGAGGGCCAGCCCGCCTGCCATCCGGCCCATGTAGAAGGTGGCGTCCAGGGCCTGGGGCTGGGCGATGGCGGGGCACGAGGCGGCGCAGTCTTGGCAGGAGCAGGCGGCTGTGCCGTCCGCCTGGGACTCGTTGCACGGTGCCACCTCCCCGTTCAGAAGCTGCACCCCACTCCCCGGCGTCTGACCAGGCTCCAAGAGGTAGAAGGTGATGTCCAGGGGGGCCAGGCCATTTCCTGTGTCCCCCTGGAAGTTGAGCCAGCGCTGAGCGTTGCAGAGGGCGGAGCCATAAACGCCACACATGGTGCCCACAGCTAGCGTGGCTGCTGCAGGGACACGCACCCGGCTGCATGAGTCGTAGGTCCGCCTGGCGAAGCTGCTCTGGTAGAAGGCCTCGTAGGCCACTACAGCCGGCGGCCGGCCGTCCCCGCGCCGGGCCACGCGTGTCACGTTGACAAACAGGCTCTGGTTGGGGCTGCAGGTGTTGTGGCAGTGCAGGCTCACGAAGTTGTCGGTGCAGGCGGGGCAGCGTGCGAGGAGCGCCTTGGTGACCGCCAGGCTCGCCTCCAGGGACACCAGCTGCTTGGCAGAGCAGCAAGCGTAGGTGGTGTCGGGGCCAGCGTACAGGCGGGGGCAGATGCGCCGCAGGAGGGCCAGGTGCTCGCCGGCCAGGAGGCGGGCGGGTGTGTTGGACAGGCAGGACACGTTGGCCAGGGGAGCCAGGCCTCCGGACAGCTCTGGGTTCTTGCCACACTCATCGTAGAAGGCGCAGTAGCCAGACCGGTGGATGGGTGTGTACAGCTCGGCCTGGGCCTACGGCGGGATGCCATCACCATGGGGCCCAGCGCCACTCGCAGCGGATGGCCTCGGGGCAGGGGCGGGCATGGGGTGCACAGCCCGGGGACCTGGGGAGGGACGGGCGCTCCCGCAGTTTTCAGGGCGTGATGACTGGACAAGCCAGGCCTGTGTCCCAGGTGATGGGGTTACTGAGAAGAGGGAGGTGGCCGGCAGACCTGCATTTAGCAAGGTCATGCCGGAGGGTGAGGAAACAGGTGGGGAGAACGGCGGAGCAGGGCGGGGACACCCTTGGAGGCTGCCACCTAGTCCTGCTGAGAAACGGCAGCCACGACAGGTTGGGGGGCTGCAGGCTGCATCTGGGGGCCCAGGGCCCCTCTGGGAGATTCTGTGCAGACCTTCCCTCACCTGCTTGGGGCTGACAACCTTCAGCCGCCCCCCGCCAGACGTGCCACAGCCCAGGAACTCCTCCCCACCTAGCGTTCAACCCTCATTGGGTGATTCCCATGCACCCCCAGCCCACCCCAAAGGCATCCCACGATGGGACCCTCCTTCGTCCCTCCACTGGCCACCTGAGGCCAGGACATCCGCAGGCACCAGGGATGGGAGGCACACAGGCACCCCCTATCCCCAGCACTCGTGTCCACCTCACCCTATGACCCTGAGCTATGGGCCACCCAGGACCCCCGCCCACACTCCTCTTTTGGGGCGCCTGGGGTCCCTCATCTATCCACAGACCAGCCCCTCAGAGTCAGGCCCTTCTCACTGTGGCCAAGCAGCCCCCTGCCCGACAGTTCTGCGGGCAGCAGTGGAGGGGTGACCACTGGCACCGGGACTCACCGAGTGCAGGAGCAGGGCCCATAGCAGCCAGCCCCTCAGTCCGGCCTCTGCCATCCTGGCTCTGGGAAGGCGTCTAGGGGAGAGGGGCCAGGCCACGGGGACAGCTGAGGGCTGGCTCCTGGGGACACACAGTGCCGGTCCAGGCAACACATACACTTAACCCGGGGGTGCTCAGCAAGGCAGCGTCCCCGTTGGGGAGGGCCTGACCTGACTGGTCGGGGACCAATGGGGCTGAGCCCCACAGCTCCCAGCTGGTTAATGATCCACCTTCTGCCCTCCCACCTGAGTCCCACCCTCTCCACGAGCCTCCAGGGGAGGTGCTGGGGTCTCCCCTTCATCCGCTTCCCAAAGCAAGGACTGGCCCCCAGAACCCCTGCTCGCCACAGCCTGCCCCCCCTCACCCAGCCCAGAGCCCCTCTCTCTCAGCCCCCTCCTGGGAGCCAGCCAGCTCCGGCTGGGACACACCTTTGCACTGTCAAGCTTAGCAACAGTTAATTAATATTAACAGCCTGATAACAGAGGGGACTGTTATGGGTGGAGTGACCAGTGACAAAGCCCCCTCTGGGTGGAGGGGGCAGACCATCTCCCGAGGGGTCTGACAGTCCTAGAGGTCCCAGATGTGACAGCCACAGCCCTCCTCTGCCTGCCCGGCTCTCCCATCTCGTCCCCCTCTCTACTGTCCCTACAGGGGCAGAGTGTCAGCGGGAGCCCCAGGTGTGCAGCAGACACCTTCTCTCCCTCCCCCGGGCTCTCCCTATCACCAGATGGGCCAGACCTTGGCCCCTATGCCAAGGCTGAGCTGATAAGGGAGCCTGTGGGGAGCGACTCCTGTCGCCCGCCCGCCTCCGCACAGCAGGAAGGAAACGTATTTCATGGACCCTGGCCTGACTCAGAGGAGCCATGCAAGCCGACAAGCCAGACAAGCTGAGGGGGCTCAGGCCCCTCCCCAGGCCCTGAGTCAGCCACAGGTTGGGGAAGAATCCAGCACAGCCCGGGGCTGTGCTGGCTGCCGGCCGCCATCCAGTTCCCTGTGGGCCCAGCCCCCTGTACACCTGGTGCCAGATGCTGAGACCCCAGCCCCACTTGGGGTCTCTGTCCCTGCTCCTGCGTACCCTCCCCAAGAAGCCCACCTGAGACAGGGATTTCCCTGCAAATAGTTTACTGAGAGGCGACCCCACATGGCACCAGCAGGGACGGGGAAAGGGCAGGAAGCCACATGGGCACCCCGGGGCTTGCCAGGGACTCCTGGAGACTGTGGGGCACATACCGCATCTCCTCCAGTGGCCGGTTGGGGACCTGTGACAGCTTTAGCCCCAGGCTTCTCTGGTGTGTGGGGCCACTGCCCCCTTAGTCCTAGTTGTGTCCCAGCAGAGGCTGGCAGATGGAGGCCCCCAGAGACGGAAGAGCCATGCAGAAATGAAGGAGGCTCGCAGAGGCAGTGGGGTGGGGGGGGAGGCCCACAGAGGCAGGGGGCAGGGAGGGGGTAGGCCCAAAGAGGCGGAGCCCAGATGCGTGGTCTGGGGTCTTCCCTGAAACACACCCAGGATGAAAGCAGACCTGGGCTCTGAGCAGATGAACTTGCTCTCCACAATCCCCTCGGCATCTCTGAAGTCACACTGCCACCCAGATCTGAGTTGTGAGTGTGTGTTCGCTCTTGACTGCCACTCTTTCTTCTTTGAGCACACATCCCCCACGCCTCCTTCCCTCTGATCAGCGCATTCCCTCTGGCTTGTGTCCTACAGAGTGACAGATCCAGTCTCCAGGAGCCGGAGGCTGGGCATCCCATTAGTTTTGGGTTAATGTCTTCATGCCCAACTCTATTTTCCTTGACTCCACATTGATGTAAACCGAGACCCTAGAGATGAGGCTAGTGCGCCAGCGTAGCAGGTGCGTGCTAAGTGCACGGCCCAGGAGCTCTTCCCGTGCACTAATCTAGAACACGTCGAGTGATTACCACACTCTTGCTTCATAGTATGCGGTTTAGGGCTCAGATGACTGAACCCCCAGGACTGAAATGCTTCCCACAGATGCCAGCAACCCAGTCAGCAGCCTCACCTTCACCGTCTATTGCATGTTGTCAGACTGGACAAACAGAGTCAGTAAGAGGACACCTCATTTCCCGCTCTCCTTTGTTTCCAGGGAGAGGGGTGTGCCTGCTGAGGCTGGATAGGAGTGAATGGGGCAACAGGGGTGGGAGGTGCCAGCTGCCTGCAGGGAAGCCCCACGGGGTCGGGTCTGGTGGATGCCTGGCAGTCTGTCCCGGTCCTGCACTGCTGGCTTGCTGCAAGGTCCAGGGGTGAGGCCGTGACGCTCAGCCAGCCTTTGGCTGGGGCCATGGCACCTGGCTGGGTGTGTGCCATGCACTGACCAGCCACATGGTGGCCAGCCTGCAGGGGAAGACCAGGGGTCCGGTCACCTCGGGGCAGCCTTCATCTTCCCCATTGTCCAAACCCTGCCACTATTTGCTAAGGACTGTGTCCTCTGTTCTCCCAGGTTCCTCTGTAGCTGGCGGTGGCCCTGGGACCTGATTCTGGCCCACGTGAAGGTCTTTTCTTTTTACATAGGTGTCATTTTCTTTGAGCAGTCTCATGTTTGCAAATAAAAAAAGTGAGCAGAAAGTACAGGAGCTCCTGTAGACCCATCACTTCCCCACAGCCCATTACTCTTACATTTGTGGGGCACATCCGCCGCAATTGATTACCCCATAGCGACATGTTATCAACTCAAGTCCGTGGCTTACGTTAGAGTTGTCTCTTGTCTCAATACTCTGGGGGATGTTACAGATACGCAGTGAAATGGGACCACTATCCTATCATACAGAATAGTCTCTCTGCCCAAAAACCCCATGCTCCACCTGTTACTCGCCCTTCAAACCCCCGACAGCCACAGCTCTTTGCACAGATGCTATTCTGCATGGCAAAAGACAAATAGCCTGGGGGCGCCTGGGGGACTCAGTCGGTTGAGCGTCCGACTTCGGCTCAGGTCATGATCTCTCAGTTCCTGAGTTCGAGCCCCGAGTCGGGCCCTGTGCTGACAGCTCAGAGCCTGAAGCCTGCTTCAGATTCTGTGTCTCCCTCTCTCTCTGCCCCTCCCCTGCTCATGCTCCGTGTTTCTCTCTCAAAAATAAACATTTTTTAAAAACTTAAAAACAAAAGACACATAACACAAACATTCCTGTCTTACCCATCTATAAGCACACAGTTCAGTGTATTACGTATGTGCGCTCCATTGTGCAGCCACTGACGTCGTCCATCCTGTGAATATGAACTCCTGTCCCTGCCAAACCCCAACTCCTCCAGCCCCTGGCGACCGCTGTTCTGCTTTCCATCTGTCCGATTTTGGCCACTGCATGCACCTCACATGAAGGGAATCACACAGTATTTGTCTTTCTTGTGATTGGCTTATTTCACGCAACATCACATCCTCAAGATTTGTCCATGTAGTAGCAGGTGCCAGAAGTTCCTTTTTAAAGGCTGAGTGATATTCCGCTCTGTGGACACACCACACACTGCTTATCCAACCATCCATTGATGGACACTTGGGGTGCTTCTGTGTTTGGGCCACTGTGAATAATGTTATGGATATGGGTGTGCAACATCTCTTCCAGATCCTGTTTCAAATCTTTGGGGTACAGTTCTAGACGTGGAATTGCCAGGTCATACAGTGATTCTATTTTTAATTTTGTGAGGAACCAGCATACTGTTTTCCACAGTGGCTGCGCCATTTTATATTCCCACCAACAGTGCACGGGGACATTCAGGTCCTCGATCTTCAAATTTTCCACGTGGTTTCCTGTTGTTTCAATGGCAGCCATCTTGATGAGTGTGATGTAGTATCTCACTGGGTTTTGATTTGTATTTCCCTGATGATCAGTGATACTGAGAATCTTTTCATGTGCTTATTGGTCATTCCTACATCTTCCTTGGAGAAATGTCTATTCAAAATCTTTGCTCATTTTGTAATCAGACTGGGTGTTTTTTAAATTATTATTTGTTGAATTTAGTTGTCATAAAATCTGGATATTAATCCTTTATCAGATACATAGTTTGCATATATTTTCTCCCATTCTGTAGCTTGCCTTTTTTTTTTTTTAATTTTTTTTTCAACGTTTATTTATTTTTGGGACAGAGAGAGACAGAGCATGAACGGGGGAGGGGCAGAGAGAGAGGGAGACACAGAATCGGAAACAGGCTCCAGGCTCCGAGCCATCAGCCCAGAGCCCGACGCGGGGCTTGAACTCACGGACCGCGAGATCGTGACCTGGCTGAAGCCGGACGCTTAACTGACTGCGCCACCCAGGCACCCCTGTAGCTTGCCTTTTTACTCTCTTGATAATGACCTTTGACACGTAAGATTTAAAATTTTTCATGAAGTCAAATTTGCTGATTTGCTATCTGTGCTTTTGGTGTCATAGCCAATGAATCACCGACAGATCCAATGTCACAAAGCTTTTGTTTCTTCCAAGAGTTTCATAGTTTGAGGTGTTTCATCTTTGATCCATTTTGAGCTAATTCTTGTGTTAGTACGGGTCCAACTTTGTTCATTATTTCACAGAGTGGATATATACTTTTCCAAGCATTTCATGAAAAGACTGCCTTGGCTACCTTGTCAAAAGTCATTTCACCTTATTTGCAAGGGCTTACTTATGGGCTGTTCATTCTATTCCACAGTCTATATGTCCATCTTAAGTCAGCACCACTGTCTTGATTACTCTATTTTTGTGGTAAGTTTTGAAATCAGGAAATGTGATGTCCTCAAACTGTTCTTTTTCCAAGTTTGTTTTTGTTTCATTGGTTACTTGAGGTCTCTTGAGGTTCCACTATGAGTTTTAGGATAGATTTTTCTGTTTCTACAAAATATGACTTTGGGATTTTGATAGGGATGCATTAAATCAGTAGCTCACTTTGGATAACAATATTATTCCAACCTGTCCATGAACACTGGATTCTGTTCCATATTTACATCTCCTTTGATTTCTTTTACCAATGCTTTCTCATTTTCAGTGTATAGATCATTCACTTCCTCAATGAAGTTAATTCCTAAATATCTTATTC